CTGCTGGGCTTCCATTTCTTTTTGCTCAGCCTTTGCCAAGTAAGCCTGTGCTTGCAGAGGTTGGCTATTCTCATGCCAAGAGGTCTTGTGGACTCTGGGCCTCCAGAGCTCGCCAGGCTCCCTTGGCAGCCTGCTTTGTGCATGGGATACACCCGATGTCATTTTAAGCACCTCATAGCTCTTTCTGGGCAACGCACAGATGTGTTGACGTGCACGCCCATAGATCCCCTGACCTGAGTTACAAGCATCAACCAGGAACAGACAGCACAGTCGCACTTCAAAGGGTTGAGAGCTCCCCTTGAAGCATCCAACACACCTTCTGCAAACCCATTACCTGCATTTATCAATTCTTAAAAGTAGGACATAAACTGATGTGCAGGGACCATCAGGAAGTCTCACATCCACTTTAGAAGAAATTGGATTGGCGTTTAATGTACAGGCGATACAATTTAATTGCAACTTTATTAGGTTATAGTCTGGTTCTCTAGTATAGAATCATAGAATGTTTTGGGTTGGAAGGGACCCCTAGAGGTCATCTAGTCCAACCCCCCTGCAGTGAGCAGGGACACCACTAACTAGATCAGGTTGCTCAGAGCCCCGGCCTTGAATGCTTCCAGGGATGGGGCCTCCACTACCTCTCTGGGCAACCTGTTCCAGTGTTTCACCACCCTCATTGTAAAGAATTTCTTCCTTATATCTAGCCTAAACCTACCCTGGTTTAGTTTAAAACTTGCACGCAAGTTAACTGCACCTATTAATTCACCAGGGCAGAGCATAACCATGTGTATCTGATTTCATAGCTCTCCGGAACTATTTCTCAAACAGGCAGTGATGGCTGAAGGTGGTTCAGCTGCTGCCACAGCTCAGGGGTGTCTGTGCCACTTGTTTTAGGGAAATACAGCAGCTTTGCTCACATAAGCCAGGGGCCTCAGCTGGTATGCTCAGGCCAATTTGCTTGAGGTTTTTTCCTCCCTCTATTTCCCTTTATTCCAACTTTTCTCAAGAATCATCCTCCTAGCCCCGTGAGTGTCCTCATCAACTCTCCAAGCTCTGAATGCTATGGTGGTTTCATGTCACTCAGCTAAGATTCTCAGATCATCCTGGGGATTCAGTAGGAGCTACGTGGCTGAACCTCCCAGGCGGCCGTGGGTATACTCAGCTGTGCTCTCTGGTCCTGGATGTTACTGAGCAATTTCCACATCCATTGCTGAAAACACATATTTTCCTTTCCTAGCAATGTGATGACTTATTTCTGCACAGTATGTGTCAGCAATATTAACCAGGAATTTGCTGTGTCCACAGTGACCTCCATTTAAACCTGTTCTTATTGTTTGCTGCACTAGTCTCTCATCCATGTCCTTCTCCTTTCCGTGACATCCAGTGCCACACTACACAAACACCATATTTGTGAGCATTTCTGCTCCTACACTAGGAGGACAGATAGGTAGGTTCCCAATTATGGTAAATGAAAAAAAAGAGGCAAGTTAATCACTTCTGCAGGCTGAGTCGCCATCTGGAGTTGCTCTCTGTAGTAGAAAACATTAAGTAACAGCTATTAAATAACAGATCTCAGCATGGGGACTGTCCTTCTGCACTTGTGGCCATCTCACCACGGATCTTGTCTCACAGCAAAAGTTAATACATAGCACAGGCATGGCAGGGTTTATAACGTCTGAGGCAGAGGCAAACAGGCAGCGCAACAAACTCCTGCTGCATCCAGCAAACCCTCGAAGTCGTGGGCTGCATTAAGAGAGGGTGTATTCCATCAGCTCATATAGAAACGCCTATATATTAAGTACTTCACTGACCCCAGTGTCTGGAATCTTTATGATCAAGCTTTGGCTGAGTTTTAGCTGGAAAGGGCACAGTGAAGCCTGTTATGGTAAGCTCTCGGACGAAAGGACAGCTTATACGCAGAATGGATGCATATTAACATTTCCAGTGCAGTAGCCTTCTTTCTGCTCACGTAAGTTGATGTGGAACGTGACTCCAGCCCATTGGGAAACCATCTTTTCCCTATTCAGCAATGGTTCCCAACATCAGCCTTTACTGCCTGCCTGTGGCAGGGACCGAATACCAAACAGAGCCCAGGAGAAACATGATCAGGACCTTTACTGGGTATGGCAGATGTCTGCAGAGATTCCCAACTATTCCTGACCTTTTTGTTAGTTTTCCATGTAAAAATTAACACCTATGGGAAGCATGTGAAAACATCTCTGTAAGACTAAGATGTGACCAGAGCCTCCAACTACATTGGAGATGAACCCACTCAGTCCTGCTAACTCTGTATTCTGGACCACACATGCAACGTATGGAATGAGGGATACAGAGGCATCATAAACTTTAGAAAACTGAAAATATCATATAGGAGAAACAGAGACTCAACTTCCAGCAAAACCTCCATAAAGCTATAAAAGCACATTTTCTGTGGCTGTTTTTCATACCAAAACCTACAGATATAGTGAGGTGGGGTTTTTTTAATTTCACGCACAGCAGACTGAGGTTTAGATTTTTGACCAAACCAGAAGTGAAGGACACTTTACAGCAGCTCAGTGTGCTCCCAGGGTAACCCTGCAGCAGTATTGCTGCTGTTAGTCCTGAGCCAGAAACAACCTGGGCTGACTTTCCAACCTCTATGGGCCAGCAACTACGGAGAAGCTACCTGCGCCAGATTTAGGCTCTGACTTTCCCTGGAAGTTATCAAGACAAAATTAAACTAAAAGCCTGCAGCACCACTCACCAGCATCACACAGCTCTTTGCTTTTGTCCAGCTACAGAAGTTGATCTGATGGCCAGTCTGGGCACAGCCCTGGAGTTGTGTGGTATATCCAAGTCGCCATCTGCTGATGGCATGCCATCAACATTTCAAGGTTGCTGAGTTTGTTTAGTTTTTTGTACATGTGCCTTGAATATTAATAACAAGGTCTCAGGTTCCCTTGACTGACCAGGGCAGCCTCGTAATTGAAAGCAAAAATGCTTCAAGGAGAATTACAGAAGTGAGAGGATATTCAAACTTTCTGGCCTCACAGGATGAAAATAATGATTGCCTACTGCTGGCAAGGAAACTAAAACCTTTCCTTGCTTACCTGTGAAGCCATTCTCTGGCAGCATCAGTCTGAAAACTGAAAGCTTTTCTTTTTTTTTTTACTTCAAAAGTAAAGAGAGCAATACACAATACAGATTTGCCTGAGAAGGGTGCGTTGTGCTGGTAGAACATGCACCATCAGGAACACCCCACTACCTCTATGCCAGCGTTCAACCCAGTGACAAAAATCAGCTGTTCCTTCCCATTTAGCTGCGTGTCACGCTGCATCAGGATATTCAGAAAGAGATGTAGAGACCAAGCATTACACCAGCTGCTCTGTGAACTGAGCTCTGCTAAAGGTTATTAAGTGGGAAATACCTCCAGAGTCCTCCTCTCACACCCAGCCTCAGACCAGGCTGATTTTGATCTGGAAAACATCCAGAAAACATTAATCTTCTCTGACCTCACCTGAAGGAAGAGGAAAGGGGTGTTGGGTTGCCTTTTCTAAACGCAATAGTGATCAATAGAAAAAAAAAGGAGCTTTGGTTTTCCTCAAGGTGTGCCACTCACAAGCCGTCACCCGCCACCTGCCCCAGGTGTCTCCTGGCATGGGAGGGTGGACAGGGGGGTGTCAGGAAGGCACAAAGAAACTGGGATTTTGTGTGGGGATAAAGGACCCTGGCAGCTGGCTGCCAATGCCTTTCAGTGCTTCTTCTTGGGAGCCTAAAAATCAAGCACACACAATGCAAAATGCAACCCCTCTTTCTTCTCCATCCCTGTACACACGTACCCCAATCCACATCACACACCCTTGTAAAGTTTTATACCAAGTTGTGGCAGACTCAAAAAGTCTGAACACAGGGAAGATGTCATACAGAATTCATATCAACTCTGTGAAATTATATAAGGATAAATGTGAGCTTTCCATCTGAGATGTCTGTGAATAAATGTGAGCTACTGATGCCTCTGGGTGCCTCTGAGTGAAATATTCACCTCTCACTAATGGAAATATTTTGATTAACAACTTTATTTGCCTAGTGGCAAATACTGCTTTTTTTCTTTTAAATCACAGATAAGTGTCATAAAAAAATTCATTTGCACATTAACAGGATATTTATAAAGTACTTGGTATTCGAGTTCCCTCAGCAGGCAATTACAGATATGTTCTACTTTTTGAACAGTTTTGGTTTGGTTTTTTAATTAGTCTCAAGGTGACTTCCAGCACACAAATACATCCTGCTGGATTCCCCACAAAACTGCTTGTAATAGTTTCTCATGCTTACTGCAGCACTTCGCAGTGCAGGCTTTACACAACCATCAGTAAAAGGTCCAATTTTCAAAACATACTGAAAACTAGGAAACAAGGGTGAGGCATAAGGCAGCGGTGTTTATAGACAGCATGATTTACTCACGAGTACGCACGAGCCCCAGGTCCAGAGGAGGGGCCTGCTGTAAACCAGTTTAATCCAACTGCTGACTTTTCCAGTGGATTCAGGGGAGAAAGCTCTCTCACACTCTTGTTCTTCATGTTCTCGCCTGTCTCCTGCCCTGCCCCAGAGGCCTCTGGGTACAGAGCATTTCATCCTTGGCCGGGTCCATCACTACTGGTAGGACTTGGACAAGAGAGTGCTGGGTCTAACTGTCCTCCGGGGCCAGTTAGACCAGGGCAGGTTCCCCCCTCTTCCCTCCTGCCCAAGATACTCACACTAAATGCTGTGATTTAGAGAAAGCTGGAGAAGGCTATTCTAGATGAACAGCACAATCGCTAATCCTATTCCAATGGTTACATACACACTTTAGGTACAAAACATACCAACCCTGCCCACATTGGCCAGCTCTTCTCCAGGCAACAACATTTTAGATGACACTGCCAACCCTGCCCCTAGCACGGCTGCTCCAGGAGCTCCCATGCATCATCATCCGCTCCCAGTATGAGCAGTGCTAATAGCATGGTTTTTGCCTCTCTCCCACCCAGGTGAGTGGCATCAATAAAGGGATGGGTCGGACCCGGGAACAGCGCATCCTGATCATGGTGGTGGTGATGGTAATTTGCTTTCTCCTTTGCTGGCTGCCGTATGCGACTGTGGCACTTATAGCTACATTTGGGAAACCTGGTCTCATCACCCCTGCAGCCAGCATCATCCCATCCATCCTTGCCAAAAGCAGCACAGTCTACAACCCCATCATCTACATATTTCTGAACAAACAGGTAAGTAAAATGCTATCCTTATGTTTACTCAGATTCAGTGTATGCAAGTAGTAAAGAAATGACGAGGGGAAATGAAGAGTGTATTGGCGACATCTCTGAAAAACCCTGGGAGAGGGAAGCACAGAAAAAGGGCTACAGGGAGTAAATTTAATTGACGAGTCTGACTTTTGGGACTTTTATAACTAACTTCCCACTTGTCCAAATAGCAACGGATGGGTCCTTCCTTTCTCCTACACAATCTGATGAACAGCAAGTTAAACGTAGAGGAGAAGAATCACAGAATCACAGAATGGCAGGGGTTGGAAGGGACCTCGGGAGATCATCTAGTCCAACTCCCCTGAAATCAATGTTCTGGCAAGTGTGAAGGCATCAGACACTGTGTGAAGTTGATTCAGATATATAAAATCTTGTAACGACGTGAGCCTTTGCTACCCCACGCCATGCTCCAGCACTGCACGTTGCCCACAGTAACTCCTCTTCTTTGCAACGTCAACTTTCTCTTCCCCAATTGACTCTTTTAACCCCACCTTCAAATCCTTCCGTCACTTTTCTGTCCTACTCTGCACCTCCTAACAGCTGGTGGGAACCATGACCAGTGAGGATCTGTCTAAAAACACTGCTGGAGGAGCTGACCCTGGGGCACAGCTTGCTTCAAATCTTGCATTTCCCTCCCCTCGCCATGCAGAGGGCCAAAAAACAGATGGCAGGGGGGTACCAGGTGAGGGGCTGTAGATGTAGCTGGGGCTCTACTTCCAGCTAGAGGGCTGGCCTCAGGACTACCCTCACCAGATGGTAAACACAAGAGGCTTGGTAATATCTTTAACATTGTGCACAGTAAGTGAATAACTGTGATTCTCCATATCCTTCCAGCAAGCCATGAATTTCTGACCCTGCCCAGCTCCATCTCAGAATACACGTCATGTATCGATTCACACCCTCTGGAAACTTTGTCTAAAAAAATTGCTGCATGCATAAAAAATGTTCCCTTTTATTCATTCCAAAGGATGAATTTCAGCTTCATCAGAGTCAGCAGGCAGAGCAGCATGTCCTAAGCGTCGCCCTCATCTCTGCGATGAGCGGCGCACTGCTGGTGTCAGCACCAGGGTGCCGTTAGCCCTGTTCCAGGACAAATGTGGCACCTCAGGTCTGATGCTAAAGGCAGGGATAAGAGACCCCTCTGAGCCAAGCATGCTGCTGGCTACGGCGGACTGGGCTCTGCAGTGCTGGCAACCCACCCGGGTACAGCTCACCAGCAACTCCCTGGCTTTGCTCTGATGCCAAAGGGGAATGGAACCCCCATTTTTAGGTGGCTCGAGAAGGCATTGGAGCTCCCCTGGAAATCTTTGAGTACTTCTACCTTGCTGAGAGGTGAACATTTTCTGGTGAAGATTCAACTCATGCCAGGAGAATGTGGGTTTTAACTACATTCAAAACAGAATAGAGAAGAGAAATGCTTCACGACACCATGCAGCTGTCAATTCAGCCCAAGAGAACGCACTTTTGCTTCAATTCCACTTTTCTCCGCTTAGAAACTCCGGGTACAGATACCCAGGCACCAGTAGCAGGACTATGTCTCCTCAACTGGGATTTGATCGCCCTGCGGTTTACAGTCTTCAATCCCTCCCAGCCCCTCAAATGGAAACTGTGAGCAGAGGCAAGGCAAAGACAAAAGATGCTGTGCAGATTTGGGGTCACGTTTCCACCCGCCCTGCTGCCTGCTCGAGAGGATGCCAGAGCCTTCGCACAGTAGCACGGGGGGAAAGACAGACCCTCCTGTGATGACTCGCGCCTGTTCAACTGTTCCAAAACCCCCCTGCTGACCCGAGTTTGCATCCCCTGAAACACACATGGCTCACGTTTAAGCTAACACACTCCTCACGTAGATTCTGGCTTGTACAGTCAGAAGGCTGTTAGGATCTAATCTTTGTAGAGGAAAATTGTTCATTAGATAAAATGGAGTAGAAGAAGCTTTATGAGGCCATCTAATTGCCCTTCTGTCATCTGCTCTGTGCAAAGATTTCTCTCCTTTCTTTTTCCTGATCCAGTGAAAATGAGCCCTATAACTCCTTTTTGCTCTGTGCCCCTTACAGTAGCATTTGTATTTGCTTTTCATTCCTCCTGCTGCTGCTGCTAACTAGTCCCTAGTGCTCAAAGAGCAGGTTTCTTTCTCAGAACACTTAGTTGTACTTTGTCTGAAAAGTTCCCAGAAGTGGCCAAACCAGAAAATATACTCTCCCTTAATCAGCACATGTGGGATTTCTGCAAATAGCATCCAGCTGCACCCAGTGATCCCAGGAGAGGGAAGCTGATGTGTGCAACTCCACCACTGGGCTGGAGATGGCTGGGTTCCACCCGAGCCCTTCCCCACACTCTGGGAGGGAGAGGACTGTGTGTTGGTCCCAGCTGTAGTCCCACACCCAGCAGGGGGAAACTCAGGGAAAGTCATGAAACCTTCCCCTTTCTCCTCCCAATAGGCTACATTTTCCTGTGCAAGCTAAGATAATGCGATGCTGTTCACAAGAAAAAAAAGTTGAGGTGATGCACAGCACACAAAGGGCAGGAGCTGGGGTAGCCCCTTGCACAGGGACAGAGAATAAAAGGTCAGAAGGGGATGGGGGATGAACAGAGATCTACAGAGAACAATCAGAGAGCATCAGAGCTAGGCCAGTCCCTCAACCATCTTCAGCTCCATCAGCCCACTAAGTCAGGCACATTTCTGGTATTATAGCAGGTGGACAATTTGTTTATCTTGAAACAATTTTTGGAAGCTGTTAGGAAGCACAGATAGTAACTCACACTCTCTGGAAAACAAATGATGGTGGTAAGGGATTGACTTGAAGTCTGGCAGTAACTGGGTGTTTTTACTGAGGCATGAGAAATTCCCAGGGAGTAAAAAGTTTCCATGACACTGTCCATCAGCTCTACTCGCTGTCACGAACAGCCTGGGGGAGCACGTTGCTTTCTCTGCTTGTGCTCAGCCTCCTGCAGAACTCCCTGACTTCTTCCCTGAGACGTGAGCAATTCTTTTCCTTCTCCTTTATTATTTATTTTTTAAAATAAATTCTCTCATGAAACTCCCTGGAACATTGAAGAAGATATTACCATCCCTTACCAGGGGAAAAGCCCCCAAGCAGACCAACAGCTGCTAAGTGGTTCACTGTGCTCACTACTGTGCTAAGCCTTGCTCCTGCGCCCAGGAGCAGCACCAGCCAGAGCCAAGCTTATAAACTGCAGCAGCAGGACCTGTTGATCCTGGTACCCAGGGGTGAGATGGAAGGCCTGAGCTAGCTGCAGTCACTGGTAAGTGCCATCTCAGCCCAAACCCTGTTGCAGAGACGTGAAGAAGTCTGGCTGACTCGCCACTCACCAGCTTGCTCTGCACCTACCCATTCCCATGGCCAGAGGCTCCACCCTGCGAAGATAACCATGCATCACTTCAAACATGCACAACCCCAGTTAAATCAAAAGAGGCAGTTTAAAAATCCCAGGCTAATCTTAACATGCACATGGGCTGGAAGGATCCCCCTATGATACAACACAGACTGTGCAGAGAAGTTATCTTTTCTACAGATGCTTTCTTAATCGTTTTACTAAATAGGTTGCTTGGAGGCAGCAGGTAGGCACAACTTAAACTGCGTTTATCCATGTCAAATATGACCTTAATTTCACCATAAACTTTTACTACTAAGGTTATGCACACGTTTTGTTTTGTATTTTTTTTTCTACATGCCACTTGGTTTTAATTGCTCAGTATTTTAGCAGCAATCAGCGTTCAGGTTTCTATATTCACCACAGAGCATCAAGAAGTCAATACTCTGAGTTTCGCTACACTCAAGAGAGAAGACAGTAGAAGCACCTCCGATCAGAAAACGCTGACACAGGTTGTTTTAATGTTTCACACATGTGTGTGAAATTCTTTGTATTAAACACCAGAGCTTTTTTACTAACAGTGACGGCTTTGCTCGCTGAAGAGAAAAGCTTGCAGCTCCTCTGGCTCCTGTCCCAGCACAGGGGCTGCTCCACAAGCAGCAGAGCCACGGAACCCCAGGCTCCTGCAGGCTCTGCCTCCCGGCAGTGCTCAGGGAGGGCTCTTTGGTGGGTTAGCAGATCCTTTGTGCTTACACTGCAGTTTCTTTCCAGTTCTCCCACCTCTGTCCAGCTGCCTCTCTTCATAAAACTCATCTAGAAAAGTGGCATTACTAATTCCTCTGTTAGATCTGGCTCCAGCTTGCTCAAAAGCAAGCTGCGTGCAGAGAGAAGGGATGGACAGAGCAGGATAGAGTGAGATTTATTCCCTCGCAAGCCATGCAAACCAGCACCCCCCCAAATCAAACCAACCCCAAAACACACAAGGTAATCAAACAAGTTAACCTGTGTTGTCTCAGGTTGTGTTTCAGCACAACTCAGTGTTCCCTCTGCCTTTTCTCCACCTCCGTCTCCATCACATCCACATCCTCACACAACCTGCTCTTCCCATCTAACATTGCAGATCAATGTTTTTTGTATCCCTAAATTAAGCTTCGCAGCTATGGTCACAAGAGGAACTCCCAGGAACCAGTGTATTTTGTTCTTGCAGCACTCAAAATGCTGGTGCTTATTTCTATGTAAATTTTAGATGTTGGAACTTTTTGGCTGCTGGATCATCTAACTGGTCAGAGAAGTTTTATTCCTGTTTTGAGATAGGGGTTTTCCAGAGCCCTGAACAACTGTAAGCTGCCCCTGGGATAGCAGCTAGCTAGCATAGACTAGCTGGGAGCTAGCCCAGCTCTTGCAGTAAAATCCATCTGCCAGCAGCAATCCAGCACCCAGGAAGTTACAGCCTGTCCGGTACCATGAGACCCGCCCCAGAATCACCCTCTTGCCCTTACACCCAAACCAGGGTGTTTTCCTCCAGCAGCACCCCCGTTGCCTTTTTGATTTGCAAAATATTTACAGAGCATTTTGCAAACCCAGGGCTGAGAAAGGACCGGGAGAAGCCCTGCACCCATGGCTGCACCCACACTCCGGGGACCTGGGGGAGCACAGAGAGTGCCAGGCAGAGCTCTGGTGCAATCAGGAGATGCTGGTCATCCAGATAACCATGTTCAGCACTGACAGCATTCCTGATGCTATGGAAATCTATAGGAGATACCTTGATGGCTGATGCAGCTTTCATTTCCCTCTAATTTCACGGTATTTCTAAAACAATTCCATGTCCCAGCTTCCCACACACACACTTTGGTAGATGTTCAGAAATCTCTAATCAGGCCGGATAAAATCAGAGAACAGGCCAGATAAAATAACATTCGCATCGAGCAAATGCCTCCAGGCGAAAGGTAGGTGAAGGTTAAACAGATAAGAGAGACTCTTACTCTGCAACAGAATTTTCCTGGGGATTAAGCAACTACAGATAGATGGCTGATAAGAGCCTCACCCACCCATGCAAAATTGACTATGACAGGAGGGAGGGGAAGGCAAAACCCAGAAAAATAGACAATATCCCCCACAAATTTTCAAGCTGCTTAATATTTCAATGCTCAGTGGTGAATAAATTGATAATAAAAAATTATAATTATTTTTATTACGAAGAAAGTGTTTAATTCCTGAGAAACGTCAGTTTCTCATTAAAAAAAAAAAAAAAAAAAGGAATTTCAGCTAAGGCGCAAAATGTGTGAAAATTTTCAAAAGCTCTTTTCCCCAGCCAGCAAGTCTGCTGACAAAAAATCTGCATGATTTTTTACTTGGCTGTTGATAGCAAGAGCTGTCACCGCTTGTTGCTATCAGCTGTGTTGTACAGAGAATTACTATTGAAGTTGGTTGGGACTCTTGACCCCAAAGAGATCAGCTGTCGGCATTGGACTCTGCAGTCTTAGGGAAGCCATGCAGACAATCTGGAAGATGCAAAAATAGGTATTTCTTCTGCTACAGGCAGTTTCCTTAGCTTCACGCAATAGACTCCCTCCACTCTCAGCTGCGCAGTATGTTTTGCCACGCAACTAAAAAATCCCTCAAATAATGAATGTTGAGCCAAGCCCATCTGAGAGCATAAACCAAGCACATTGCACACCTTTTCATCTTCTCCCTGATCAACGACAAATCAAACCAGCCAACATCACCTTCATTGGCGATTCAATTAGCTCAATCCCTACCATGCCTTTACCAACAGAGTATATCAACAACCTGACAACAGGCTAGCACGGGTGATACGTCAGCGCTCCCCGAAATGTCCGTGCCGCAGCAGACTGACTGTGTTTGCCTGCGAGCACACAGCCTGCTCAATCAGGTAACAGGCTCCTACAAACCCAAAACCAGGCTGAAAAGCATTTAGACCCTTCTGTTCTCTATATTGCAATATAGTCAGTAATATTTGTACGAAATAAAAACACAGGACAACTGTTACAGGCCTGTCCAAAAATTTCATTTCTGGCGCTCCTCTCTCCGTACTACTTTTTAATCAAGGGACAATGAAAATACAAATTGATTTAAAAAATTAATTTATAAACCCAACTGCCCCCAAATGAATACAGCATCGAGTCTGCAAGCAGGCAAGGTGCCCCGTCTGGATTTTAGCACTTTACCTGTCCCCTCTAAGTGCTGAAATATTGCAGTGGTCCTGCTTTGTTCATGAAACATTGGCCCAAATGACTTCCTTTATTTTCCTTGGGTTTATTCTTCTTTCACTGATGTACCCAGTTTGTGTGCCCAGATGAAGGGGAAAGGCAGGCAGCTCTTTCCCCCAGCTCCTGCTCCCCAGGACCCCAGCCCACCTTAGCTCACAGAGACCTTGATGTCAGCACGAGCTCCCACTCAGCACAAGCACATATTTTTTCTACAAAACAATTCAACTTCTAATACAAAATATTATTACATCCTTCTGTTTTTTCAGGACCGTTCCAGGAACTGAAATGAATATAAAGATCATAAGATGAAGCCTGTCTTATAAAATGTGAAATGAACAAAATTCCTACTAACTTGCTGTTCTCTACATGCATGTGATAGTTTTACAGGTGCTTTTTGGCGCTTCTGAGATGCAACAAAGCCGCTGCAAACTCCAGCAACAAAGCCTCGTCCAGGTCCTGCCACGCGCTGCAGCGGGCGCAGGGTGACACCGGCCCTGTGGTGGCTGCCTCAGCCAGGCAGCCCTTGCCCAAGAGCCCAGACCCTACTGGGAACCTGCACCCACCTCCAGAAGAGACCCCAACAGCTAAAGAAGCCGTGCTGGGGGCCGACTGCAGCGCCTGACCCAGACTGCTGGGCTAACGCCACCGGCTGCCCCCTTGTGTTTGGGAAGTTTGAGTCCAGACGTGAGAGTTTTTGCCAAATAACCTCAGTTTGCACCTTTGTTTCTAATGAATTGCCCGTCTGCTCCCTCAAGAGGTTGGTTTCACTGATAAGCCATTTCCTTCTTTCTCAGAGACTCTTCCCTAATCAAACGCTGGGAGTTCTGGAAGAAAACAAAATAAAACCTGCAGATGCCTCTAGAAAAAGTTTCTTTTAAAAAAACAACAAACAACAAACCCCTAGTCTAAAGACTTTCTGCCAAAAACCAACCAACCAAAAAAACCCCAAACCCAACGACGACAAAGCAGAGGTCCAGAGCACCTTGCTGCAGAACTGCTCCAGGAAACAACTTGCACATGAAGAGGGGAAGCAAGCGGGTTGTTTTCCAGTAGTGAAACTACCGGTGTGCAGATGGTCTCCCTCTGGTTTGGATTACACTGTACCTCCAAAGTCTCACTTCACTTTTCAATACAAACCTGAACAGATTATGAAGAACTACAGTTACGAATTACAGCTCTACTAAAATTTAAAGTGCATATATTGGATATGTTTTGAAGTATAGAAATTGCAGCTCAAGCTTGAGAAACCAAGTATTTTAGGGATTTTTTTTTTTTAATTATCAGCTTACGAAGTTATTGCAGCAAAGAATAATTTCTTCATAACACCCAGTGAACAAACAACTCTCTGAGTACGCAGCACTCCGCTGGGTAAAGCCCTCACCTCTGGAAATCTGCCAGTTCATAAGTGCTAAGACAAAAGCAAGAGTGATTCCAGCTCTTTTTAGAAGCGTGTTTATCTGAGTATTTGTGGAGCCAGAAGGGCCAAGCCAGTGAGTGTAGGCTGTGAGCAGGGCAGCTGCATTCATTTATATCAGCCGAAACCTCGGGGCATTGAGCAGTAGGGGGTACAGTGTATTTTTACCCTGACTGGTCGCAGTGGCCCCATCAGGAAAGCTGGTTGGGGACCTTCAACAGGATCTTCCTCTTAGACCATCTTTGGGAACTGGAGTGACAGATGGTACCTTCTACAAACAGAAAAGTGTTGGAAAGCCTCAGAAGTGCAGCTGGAAGAAGAATCGAAAACAAACACAGAACCACCTTCTCCCTCATTAACTCTGAGCACAATTCCAATATTTTGACAGTATTTGTCATCCCAAACAGGAAGGAAAATGTCAAATAGCACCATTCTGTGGAGAATTACTTTTCAAATCCCAAACTGCGTGGAAATGCCATCTTTCAGATGAGCTTCACGCTGAAGTACGTCCACACCACCGCCAAGGTAGCCATCAAAAATTGGTATCACAGCACTTTAATTACCTTGCATTAGCCAAGCCAGAACCGGGAAACAGAGAGGTTCAGATGAATGAGTAATGTGGGAGAAACAGTTAACTGGACTTTTTTGATCACTGCATGAGTTGGATCCATTTCAAATTGGCCATGCTAGATGGTTCCCTATACATACATGTGTCATGTTCAGGAATAAGTGAACTGCTAAGGACTTCAGCACAGTCACCAGTTGCAGCTGCCCAGGAGTAAGAATGCAGGAATCTGCCTGTAATTCTTACCTGGAAGTAAAGACATCTAGCCCCAGATCAGACCAGTGACAACCTTAAAGCTGAGTATTGCATTTAAGAGAGAGCAGTACTGAGAAATGACTGGCACAAAACCTTCCTAGGGTCAGCAGATTCCCCAAGCAGCCCATGCTGGACATCTCCAAACAGCCCTCAAGGATGATGCAAGCCCCTGCATCTCTGCTTCCCCCACTGAGCCTGCCAAATGCACTCGAATCAATCAAAAGTCATTCCCATTCAAATGTCTTAAACCTTCAGTTTTACCACCAAATACCTATGCCCTTCGCGTGCCCTCTCGGAGGCAGAGGGCATTTGCCAGCAGCAGGGCTGGCACAGCGCAGCCCTACCACGTCCTTCAGACTGGTTTCCATCTCCATCTCCTCACCACCACAGAGCACTCCATGCACATTGCTACAAGAGTCTCTGTTTCAAACAGATTTGATCCGCCCCCCTCCCCCCGCAATGACCATAAGCTGTCTTTCCCTTCCAGGGATGTGGGTTTCTTTTTTCTTTGCAACGTTACCAAAAGCCTTCTCATACTCTCACACATTACTGCACAATCTGCTAGTTCTTTTTTTATTCCTAAGCCACAATTATAGTAATAACCTCAATAACAACAAATATTTTCAAATACAGAAGCTGAACCCATGAAGTGAGGCTTTTACTGAGGTTGTATTGGTGGATGAAATCAAAGCAACGGATGCCCTTATTGCTAATGAATACACCACATCAATTATTTATTCCCAAGCACATACTTTTAAAGGATGCTTTGTTATTTTCAGATTACAAAGCATAGCAGAGTTTTTTCAATTCATCTTTTCCTTTCCTTGGTATCGTGCCTAGGTGGATTATTCAATGTCAAGGTCTATTTCTACGTTAGTATGAGTTTTGCAGCTCTGTGACTGGTGATTTTTGTAGATGCAAGAATCTGTTCCGTCCTCTTTTAGTATACAAATTTGGCTTTGGTGCACATCTTCGAGGTGTTAAAATAGTGTGTGGCTTGTGATACATATTTATGTTTTCAACACAAATCGTTAGTTTCTGTTCCATTAACCCTGTAACCAATGGCAAACACCACCTGCAACTCCGCTCCAGCAAGAGGCTTGTAACCGCAACAATGCCGGTTGGAAACATGCAGGACATTACAGCTATAAATAAAAAGATTCTTGTGCCATACCTTGCTAGCCTTATTTCTTATGTGCAAGCAGAACAGCCTGGTCTCTCCATGCTTTCACAGGTAAGCGGTTTTTGACAGAGGACTTCAGGCTGAATTGCGCAGTAGCAAGAGTAGTGGAAATAGCAAACTTGAGAAATGGGATTGCCATGACCCAGTGTAATCCAGAAATAATAACCATAAAAATATTATAACACCAAAAGGTTTCTAAGCCTTCCTAAACATTTCACAGAATCACAGAATGGCAAGGGTTGGAAGGGACCTCAGGAGATCATCTAGTCTAACCCCCCTGCTAAAGCAGGTTCTCCTAGAGCATGTTACACAGGATTTTGTCCAGGCGGGCTTTGAATATCTCCAGAGAAGGAGACTCCGCAACCCCCCTGGGCAGCCTGTTCCAGTGCTCTATCACCCTCAAAGTGAAGAAGTTTTTCCTCATGTTCAACTGAACCCTCTTACACTTCAAGTTTGTACCCATTGCCCCCTGCCCTGTCCCTGGGCACCACTGGGAGCCTCACCATTTGGGAGGCTTCAGTTTTCTTCCAGGACAAGGAGTTTGGCAAAGCTTAGGCAAAAATAAATTCCCATTACTGGGTGCAGTAACAGCAGCAACAACAAAAATCCACTCTCAGAAAATTATTTTGCTTTCTCTGTCTACACTTAGCATGAATTTAGCCTACCGTAGAAAATTATATTTAGCCTTGCAATAGGAGGAGGTAGTGCCACGGATATGGAATGAGTGGCACCAGGCACATGTTAGTGCAGGCCGGTACGGCCCAGGTTAATCCCAGGTCCAAGAGGCTTTTGTCCTGAGCGCTACAGAATGGTTTTGTTATGCACACACCCCTTCAGCAGAAAATGCATTAAGCACATAGTCCAGCAACCACACACATTGTTTTTTAAGCATGCTTGCTTTGCCCTTCATGGTTTTCAAGCACACAGGAAGGGAAGGGCCGCGCGTGGGCTTCCAACACTGCTGATCAGAGAGGTTTAACTGGCTCGCTTCTGGGTACGGTAGTTTTACATTGAAGCAGCACAAGAAACCCAGCAAGAGTTCAGCGCTGCACATCAAAGTGTTCAAGCATGCAATTCACTACCATAGCCTTCACATGATTCCCCATACCACAACACCAGAGAGATGGCAGCTGCATTTATTTATGCTGCCCAATAGTTGCACTTGGGATACTTCAACCAATTTACTAGAATAATACAGTCTAGATGACATCAATTTTATTTTTTAAAAAAACCCAAACCCCAACCAAAACAACATAAAACCAAACAAAAAACCCCCAGATTACAACTTGCACCTCTAAAGTGAGGGGTAAGATTCTTCTCATTGAAAAGGAGGTATAGCTCCCATTTGTTTCAACAAGAGTACAGCCCTATACTTTCTAATACCTATGAGCAGCTCGTCACTTCATTTCAGCATGTAAATTTGCTATCTGCAATCGTTGTCATTAAAAGAGCTGATCATTTTATAACAATTTACCTGGGTTTTTTTTCCAAAACTACGCATTGTAGCAGTGTAACAAGCAGTATTGCAGGGTGTTCAACAAGCAGTCAAGCATTCAGCATTCTCTTACCTGCTCTTCAGCACCTCCAACATGTGAAAAATAGCTAAATGACTGAAAACTTACTCCTAACACTATTTTGCATCCTTTTTCATGATACGGAAAGACTACGTAGCTTTGAAAGTAGGCATTTCACTGCATGCAGAACCAATCCCTAGTATAAACTCCTAGGACGTCCCAAGAGACGCTCTGCATACTATTTGGATGTAAATCTAACACTCATGTTTAGGGTCTAGCTAAACTGATACATGAGGAAATTAATATCAAACAATCCAAAGTAGCCCCATTTTCTTTAGCGATCTCTCTTCTTAGCATCAGGCAAGAGTAACGAAAGCTGGTTATAGCCTGGTATCTACAGCACAAACACCACGTTTGCAGCATGGACACAAATGAGCCTTGCACCAACCCATGGGATGCAATGGATGTCACCCACCAGAGGCATAAACCATGTTGTACTTATTAGAGAAAGAGCTTTTAAATATGCTCTCCTTTAATATCTGTATTGAGTGTCAGCCCCATTTCAGGAAGAAACATGGTTCCTGAGCTAAAGCCTCTTCAGTCAATGGGAATTTTCTCACCGACTATAAGAGAACTTGCTTCAGGCCCATCGCCTGAAGCTTAATTATAAGCAAACCAGTTCTCAGCCAGCCTCTCCCTCACCTTGAATTAAACATAAATACCAGCTTGGCTTTAAAAGACCTAGGCCCCACGTTAGCAACAGAACAAGCAGACGTCCTTTGGGAGAAGGATGAAGATGTGCAGGAGGCGCAGGGAGGTAATTCCCAAGGAAATCTGGTTTTACTGGTCGCATGTGAGAGGGAACAGCCAGCGCTCACTCTTGAGTAATTCTGCAGAGTTTATGGCAATAAGCAGCATGCCAGTTTTGGTCGGTGCAGGAATCAGACAGGACAGCACCCAGAAAGGTAGGAAGCTGACGTACAAGTTATTTTTACATAGCGCAGCACTAGGGGAGAACTGTATTTAGCATGATTAACATTTACTTCAGTTGCTATAGTGACTGATTTTATTTGCCTTCCACATGGGATAGATGGCTATTTTCTCCTACAGACCTTAGAGAACATCACCCAAAAAAAGCAGTGCTCTTTGGTCACACAGCTGGCAACTGAAATAACACCCAGCCCCCAGAAAATGTTTCTAAGTTTACTGGGTTTTTTCCTATCAAGCTGTAAGCAAATTGGATAGCAGACAGACAAATCACAGCAGAATGACACCAGCACCTTAACCAGCCTGTAAAGGGTTCTGCAGCATTTTAGTGCCATTTTGGCAACCAGAGCAGAGAGAATATACCAGGTGGCCCCCTTTATTTTTTTTCCATGATATGAATAGCAGAGCCTTGTTTTCAAGACTACCAAGCACCAGCAAGTTCCGCTGTTAGGGCCAGCCAGACTTGCAGTCCATGGCTGACTTCTGCACCGTGCTTCCCCCCGCCCCCCACCTCAGGTTTCCTTGCAGAAGTTTTACCATCTTCATAGGAGAGAGGAGGCAGCATCAAATGCTCTTGCTCTATCCACAGTGTTTACCTGTAATTTTACTTTCAAACACATTCCTAGCTTTATGCCCTTCGCCAGAAGGCTAGATGGCAATGCACAGGTAAGCATGAACCCCTGTCTGTTGTATAAAGTGTAAGTTATTAGTTGCAATTTAAACATAAAAGGAACAAATTAGCAGCAGCACTGAGACTGAGAGCTTCCCCAGGTCTTTCCACAGGATTTTCCAGTTGTAAGTGGAGCAGAGATTGTCTCATAGATAGTTTTTAATTACAATGGTGGTTTTAATCTTAATGTACAATATATCTTCCTCAGCAGGGAGGAAAGCTATTTCCAGCAAGGGAAAAAGTAAAGATGAGACAGTTTTAGGCCACCAAAGTCCTTCACTTAAAAGCTGCTTCTGCTTGGGACAGAAGTGCCATGTTGTAGGACACTGGGGCCCTGGACCTGCCTGCTCAGAGACACAGAGGGAAATCGGTCCCAGTTAACTAAGAGGTACAGATTTAAAGTTAATTGGTTAATCTGCCTTAAGCTGCTTTAATTCTGAGTAAGTGGTCTTTACTCCACTTTAAGATACAATTAAGCTGAAGTAAATTACAGTAACACGAGACTGTTTGAAATTCAAGTCCACACAAGGGTTCAAAGCAAGTTAAACAATCCGCTTTTAAAAGTTAATTCAGATCAACTTTCCTGAATATCCTCATGTAGCCAAAAGTCCTCCAAAAAGCAAACACTGGATTGTCAATAGAGTCAGTGCCTGCCCTGCTAATGCCTGGATCCGGCCCTGAGCATCCACTCTTCAATCTGCAAAATGCACCACAGCTCCGAACATGACAAGGGCTGTCGAAGGGCATGAGTCCATTGTGGACCTCCACTCTTGCCAGCTCTTCCCCATGCCTCCCATGAGGTGAACACCATTGTATTTATTTGGGTTTGTTATTCAGCAGAAGCTGCAGGGCAGTGCAAACAAGGTGGCTGGAAACAGGACTGCTGTGAGCAGAGAGGGCTGGGCTGAGCGGGGGAAGTGCTCACTCCTGCATCTCTGCACCGGCTCGGGTATCGGCTACACCCACCCCA